CGCGAAGCCGATGCGACGCGCGTCTGAACTCCATGGCCCCATAGTGACCCCTCCTACAAACTGCGATTTAAAAAATAAACATAAATGTACATGCTGTATAGAAGTCAAGGAATGGACGCACTATGTTGTAAATAAATGCAGTGATATTCCCTAGGATTTATCTGGACACTGAACTATATGAAGAAATGCGTTTCAGGGACAATCATAGAAAGGTAAACAGGTCTACGATAGAATTAAGTAATATACATTATCAGATTGATAAAGAAAAAGAAAGAGAAATGGCCAAAATAAATACTGCCAAAGATCCGGAAGAACTTTATTTGTAGTCCTGACTCTGCCCTGGGCACAGAAAGTTGTGCTTTTATTTAATTGAACTAGACAGAATGCTCAAATAATAAATAATAAAAAGGTTCTGTTTTTAGCTTGGCGGCACACAAGTCACCAGTGTGTTATGAATGGGACGCTCACAGAGTCCATTCATTTATCCATCAATGTAGTACTTGTGCTCAATAATTTAAATGAATGACGGCTGGTGATTTTTTTTTCACTCATCAGTGAATTCTGGGTCCTCGCCATATATAGACAATGCATGCAGCATTTCTATATGGTACCATGCTTAATAAATCACACAAGCACTCAAGGTAAACGTTCACTTATGCTTGAAATGTATGAATGCAACACTCACCACTTTAAGGAAGAATTGCAGCTGAGAAAATCTTGTGTTAGTTCGACCGGCACCTCGATTCCAAGACACCACCAATACAGCAGCAAGAACAGCTCAAAGATACTGATCTAACACTTTCCACATATTAATCTGACCAGTAGTGACTGTTTCATGCTAATGTCGGACAAGTCCCTTTAGAAAACACGCCGCAATTACGAATACACACGAAAAAAAGGCCCCAGAAGAAAGTTTACCGGAGAAAATTTCCAAACAGAGACAAAGAAAATGTGCTAACCTCAAGCATCTAAGGAATAATCTTGATCTTCTCAATCAGGCGAAAAATGTAGAAGAGGAGGAGCACCAGTGTAACCCAAAATGCGGTCATTGACACAAATCTATACCAGTTGGACGTGCTCGGGAAGTAGTAGTCCAGTTGAGAGCAGATAAACCCGATCAGGTTAATAATTTGCAGTGACAGCACCATTAAGCACTCCTATAACAAGAGGAAAAACAAACAGGGTACACAACAGAAGGATATGTTTTTTTTTTTTAACACAATTCTTTGGGTTCCCATTGGAAAAAAATAAGCTTTTGTTTTCATGCTAATAATCTATGATTGTCCATAATAAAAGTAGTGTGAGGACTATTATTAAAAATGTTTATGAAAATTTATTATTAAAAAAAACAATGTAGCAAGTCTTTCCGGACTGGTTTTATTTAGATAACCAGTACTGTCAGTATCAACAAAAATGTTCTCAACACTGTGTTATGCTAGTGCTACCCCCTATTCATCTGAAAACAGACAGGGCTGACATGGCAGCGTTGTAGAAGCGAAGTAGCGGAGTTATTCTACTGTAGTTATGTGGAGCCGCAGCTATTAAGCAGAGTTTAAAGCTCGTATATCGTGGAAGATAATGGCAAACGTTTAAAAAAAGGCTCCTTGTCGCAGGGAAGTGATCGTGATGTTTTAAACACGAGTTATTCAGATTAGTATGAGCAAACTTGGCAAGCATCTTGTTGGACGTTTACTCAAGTAAGATTTGTTTGACGTGTTGGTGTGGCATACGTCTACTCCAAAGCTATAATTAAAATGGGCTATTTGCACAGTGTTACTTATTTCACCACACAACCACAAGCACCTGGGTTGATAATGGTTGTAAATTGTGCTCCATGTACCTGGGACCAACATCATATATTCTGATTAACAATAGTAGAGATCTAGCTAGTTTTGTTATTTTCCTAATTAAAAAACCACTTGCCTGTGAATAAGACTGATTCTGGTCTCACTAGTAAGAACTATAAGCCAGATAAGGGCCACTTCCTATGACTGGCAACAAGTTTAACTCAACCTAACGAACTCTTGGTGGTTAAAGTGACACAGTTTGAATGACCACTTGAAAGCAGATTCAACCAGTTGTGGCCCATGCACCCATGTACATGGTCGATCTGCATCACGTCACGGTCAGTGGTCACTTAAAAGCTTCAAATTGGTGTCGGTGTCGTTCAAATGCCCTCTCGATGGCTATTTGAAAGCAAGTGGGACCAGTTTCCGTACAAGTGGTGCCATTTTAATGGACGCATGAAAGCAAGGGGTGTCACTTTGAAAACCACTTCACAGCAAGTGGGACCACTTGAATTCCCCCTTGACAGTAAATGGGACCACTTCAGTGGCCACATGAAAGCAAGTGGTACCATTTTAGACCAATTAAATTCCCACTTCAAGGAAAGTGGTACCACTTTGGAGCACTTGAAATCCCACTTCAAAGTTTCGCCTGGGATATATACGGAGTTTCAGCACAAATGGGCTTGCTGGCTGTAGGTCATCAGAAAAAATACCCACGCTATACTGATCCCTATACAAATTGCTGTCATATATTGAAGCAATAAAACACCAATAGCTGCCACTTATTAGTCTGACAGCTATCTATTGTTCCAAAAAAAAGAGATACGTTATCCATCAGTCCAATACGAAACTAAAATAGATCGCAGCTATTGGGCCAATATGCAGCCTATTTGACCACTGAGATACTAATTCGTGGTGACTCTTTGACCAAGAAAACTCTCGTTGATTTTATACATCCTCTATTAGCCCTGTAAGAAACCAATTTAGAACTCCAACTTGATCAATACAACTTCTATTTGCCTAATAAATGATCAATATAGGTGGCTATTGGTGCCTATCGGTACAAATAGAGTTCTCATATGCACAGTACAGCTCTGATAAACTTCCCTCAAGACCAATAGCAATTTTTCTCAGACTGATAGACTTCTACTGGTATTTTTACTAGGCTAACATACCTGCCAACTAGTATGCTGATTTACCAGATACACCAGATTTCTTAACCTGTTCTTGATTGTTCGAGCGCAGCTATAGATGTCCTGAAAACGTCCGCAGCCCAATTAAAAAAAAAACGAAAAAAAAACCCTAAACCAATTCAAGTCATGCAGCACAGTCACATTGGGATGACTCTCCCGAGCTGTATAGCCAGCCAAAGTCAAATTTGAATACAAGCCATTTGAGTGAAAGGATGTTATTGGTCTAACGTGCTTCACATCATGGAGGAAAATACATACAAACTAGGAGGAAGCATTATGCCTTGTAGCCTGCACCTTGATAGATGAATGCTCTGTGAAACTTTATTGTGGCATAATCACATTATGTCGAAATGGCGACTCTTTAGCTGAGTATGCAACTTCACTTGTTTGCACTGCCACAGTTTTGTTGTTTTTCTCACTCTAAAGATGCTTGGTTGTAGCACTTGTTGCGCTGACTCTTATTTTTTGTATTTTCTGAAAGAATAATAAACAAAATCATTGGTTTAGAGTGGGAACCGGACCCACAGCTTTTGCATGGCAAGCAGGTGTTCTATCACCCAGTCATGCTAGTGCTCGAAATTACTTGGCAAAAAACAACTACATGTATGCTCATGTAACATGAGTCATGTAATGTTGCATGGTAGAAGCGTTGAACCTCACCAGGTGTCGAAACATGAGTCATGCAGTGAGTGGTTGGTTTAAAGGCTTACCAATTAGAAAGCACACAATCATAATTTTATAATCGTTTAGAACCATAGCATTGACATGTGCAGCTGTGTAGGTGAGTGTGTTACCTTATGGCTAAGGTAACACACTCACCTGCACAGCTGCAGTTATTTAACACTACTCTCTGAACAGAAGAAAACACAATGTGCGTCGTGTCGTCCCTTTGGCCGGCCTTGATTATTCGGGGGGCGACTGTAAGCGGGGAACGCATAGTTGAAGCATCGTGGGCATCGCATAGCTATTTTTGGTATGGATGGATTCTGTGACCGACATACACGCTTGGGGTAGGGTCGTCACCTTGGGGTGTGCTAAGGTGTTGACAGAATTGCACTTCTCGTATCTAAATGCCCTGAATGGAACATACGCTTACAAACGACGTGTTGAAGAAACTAGTCGTGGATGTGACGGTCATGATGCATTACAGCACTTTACTAAGAATGCTGTGAGAGGACAATGGTAGATATAAAAGGCATATTTTTAAAGCCTGCAAAGCATGTGATTGTGACGCAGTGACGTGGATGTGACGGTCATGATGCATTACAGCACTTTACTAAGAATGCTGTGAGAGGACAGTGGTAGATATAAAAGGCATATTTTTAAAGCCTGCAAAGCATGTGATTGTGACGCAGTGGAGATTAATAGGCCATAGGTTCGACTCCAACTGATCGAACTTTAGTCTTCTGATCGTGCATATTTTTTTGCATCATTTTTATGATGAAAATGCATCGCTGAAGTCTTGTTAGACTCCAGCATAAAACACTTAAGTATTAAAAAAAAAGCACGAGCACATTTCATTTTAAAGAAACTATTTTTTTTTTACACACCAAATAGACACTGGTGTGCCAAGATGGCTTCATGGCAGTACTAGAATGCTGTGCAGAAAAGCTAGCTCTGCAAAAAATACATGGGAATTATTTTTAGCAAGACTTGACAACCGAAACTATTTTCGATTCTTGGTTGACCCCCAACATCAGATTTCAAATTAACACCAAAAAGGTCGACCTACAATCGTGTAAATACAATACTTTACTACAATATTTTTGGAGAGTTCAGGGGTTCAGTTTTGTTGAAGATTGTGTTAATTTCCTCAACAAGTATCAGTTTAGCCCCACATGTTGTTGGCAACCACAAGTAATGAAGCTCAAAATTTGCTCGCTACGACAACCAGCTGTAACGCATTAAGCAGATGCAACTCTCGAATATAATTTGGTCTCACTGCTGATACTGTGCCTAGTGTCTTGACATTGACGTTAGTCCTCCTGGCTCTTTTTTTTTTCTTTCCCAATACTGCTAGTTCTTTGGCTTTGTGGCCATGTTCCTGTACGGGGCAGATGCCTTCTTCAAATACAAAGGCTGGAAGTCTGGAGAGCCTGCCCAGGGTGAGAGATCCGTGCCCAGTGCAGGGCTTGGAGCTTCAAACACGGTGTCACCTACCAGCCCCAACTACCCTGCCTACTAACCATGCACGCTACTAAAGCATGCACCCACCCCTCAGGCTATGACCAACTTGGTGAGTGCGACACTTCCACTGAATTGCACTTGCTGCATGAGTGCTTGCAGAGCAGCTTTGTCCCAAGTGAAAATGTGGGATGTACTGTCGTCAATTATTAAGGGGGGACTTGAGTCTTAGGGCTCTCTCATTTATTTTTGAACCAAATGTGACAAAAGTTGGCATGCTTACTCAGTTTGTTCTCCGAATTCCAAATATGTAGTTATTTTTTCTATAGCTTTATTAGTTCATTATTTATTAGGATAACAATATTCATTATTCATACCACAGTATAAAAATACCCACTAGTCCGAAATTCATAAATCGCATAGAGATCAACACTAGAAAACGCAAGCTACACAACATAGGAAGCACATTTTTGATTGGGTCATTATTTTTTACTTTACGGTACACTAAACTTCATAGCTCTGAATGTGGCCATTGTGTGGTCACACAAAAGACTAATTTAAGAAACTTGCATCAAGAAAAATCGAAATCTGCTTCCTATGTTGTGTGCTCCAAACATATAGCTTCATGCTGCAAAGAAAAATTATTCTGCTGTCTGTAATAGTTTCCTATATATTGCAGGAATTTTCATACAGGGTGTACAAAATTGCCATTTTGAGAAAATCAAGAAAACAAAAAATTCTAACATTTTTAACCATAAAAATGTATGTACTTAGAATTACACAGTCGTTAACATATGTATGGATACTAGATAGCCTAAGGAGTGCAACGCTTTAAGCTGATCATTAATTGAACGAGTACCTCTCGAATTATAGCACAATAAAGTTCATTGCATGTAACCAAAAAAATTTTTTATAGTAGAATAAAAAAAAATGAAGCTGCCCATTAAAAATAGGCTCTAAGCATTATTTTTTGTGCACATTTAGCTACATTGCGCAAAAACAATTACAGCTCTAGTTGTCCTTGGTGCACTTTTACCGAACAAGCAAAAGAAAGTGGTCAAAATCTGTGCTTAGAGAATAATGCTGTTAAAACTTTATTTTGCCGTTCTGAGTGAAAAATATCATGGCACAAATACTTCTAGTCAGTTGATATGCACCGGGAATGTAATAGGACTGATTGCTTGCACGAGCATGTCATTTCTTCTAGTCCTGTAGCAAGTTGTCGCCGTGTGCTCGTCCGCCGCAAAGCCGCTTATCAGTTCAGTAACTGTACTGACGGCGATGTGCGACGAATGTGCGCGCGTCATCCGCATTCTGTCACAACAAAGAATGATATCTCTTGTAGCTTCACTTCTGCTTTTTACTTGCCGTCCTCTAACTGATGAGGCTGCAAAACAGTAACGTTGTCGGCAACCAACAGGCTCGAATGTGAGTTAGGCCTACAGCAGTGACTCGGTGACCGCCGTTGACCGCGGCGAGTTCGTTATCCTCGTTGTCCTGAGCCATAGCGAAGCTCATTCTGACGTTCACAGCGAATGAACGATCGCCACACCTGCTCACAAATTACTGTTGCACGGAACTTCTTTACTGCTGCAGGCCAGCAGCACCATGATGAAATGGTGCATGTCCGTGCGCGTCACGATGGTGAAGCAGACGCCGAAAACGCCACTTGGCCAATCGGATGCCTAGGTTTTGTCACATGCCTCAAGCAGCCAATAGAATCGCGCGCTAGTGCTTCTCGATGACGTGTTTTTCTTGAAAAACCAATAAGCAAGGCGAGCCAGCAATGGCAAGAAATTGAAGATGAACAACAACCCTTCCAAACGAGACCAAGATGAACACGATAGCTCATGTGTAACGGCAACAGTTTGGCGCGGCGCGGTTTCAGCATAAATTTGCGCTCACATTCATCTCACAGAGATTTTATAAGTTGATTTTGTGTCAGAAATAATGACGCAAGAAGCTAGAAACTTCTCAGATAGGTGCAAAAATAGGTACAGATTCCGAAAATGTCAGCTTCAAAAAGTCGATTTTTTGCGATTTTTGGCCTTCTAAGACTTGTGTCCCTTAAGCTAGGAATGTTAATCTATACTTGTTGTGTTAAATAGTTCTTTGATTATACTAACAGTATGTTTTTATGTTTTATCAGTGTCACTATTTTTTATGGAAGTGCAAGTCCTAATATAATTAGGCAGAAAACATTTCATTGAAAAGGGGGGGGGGGGGTTGAAAACAGCATGGCTTGTGTACTGCTTGAGATTACTGATCATGCACGTCATACTCATTTTAAGTTTATTTCCATCAGATAGGCTTCAACTAAAAAAAATGCTTCGCATTTAGGAACAAGTGCACAGATTATATATGTTTTTGTAAACTTTAATTCGCTCATGACAAACCTAAATTATGTGTAGTATTATAATACTAGCAGCCTTAGGAATACTTGACACTCTATTCTCAAGGCTTATGGCTAACCAAAATTGTGAGCAAGAATAATGCCAGGATGAAACTGTTAATTAGACTACTTGAGTAATTTTTCCGGGGCCTATTAATTTTTAATAACTTAGCCTTCCAAAACCTCTTTTTCACTATTCAGTGAAGATTATCCTTGAATACTCATGTGTCATGAAGTAAACATTCGTACATTATAATCACCTGTATGACGTTCATGTGGTTTATATAACACTGTATAAAGCCAAAGCTACTTTTTCTTTTTATGATTTTTCTGGGGGGTGGGAGGATATAGCTTATTAAACTTGAGGGACTGTTGTCTTTTAGTTATATTGAGAAGGAAAACATAACAGGGCAGTTCAATACAAGGCTTGTGTATCGACAGTGTTGTCTCAGCATGTGCACGTGACTTGAGTGTGCTAGAAGGTGTTAGCATACTGTCTTGTATGTAGAGCCTGTAAAGAGTGGATTACTCATAAAGTATCATATTTAAATGGTAATTAACTTTAGATCCCTTGAGTAGTGACAGCAGTTCTGTGATTACCACACTCCACGAAGCCAGCCTTATAGTGCAGTCTGCTCCATGATCAATGTTGTCTTCGTTTTATCTTTTCGAGGATTAAAGTGAAAGGGCTGTGTTCTAGAACTAACGAAACTTCTGTAGTTCAGAATATTGAAAAAAAGTGAATAAAAAGTAGTTCACAGTTCATAGAAGTCTCAAGGTGCCTCATGGATGTCACAAAAAAGTCAAAAGCAAAATTAAATTCATAGTAAGCCATGCATCAATACTTGCAGCCTTCCTGAACTTTTTCTATACCTCATCCACTTCTGCATACCTTCAAAAAGATATTGTCTATTTCAGCTTGCATGTCATGCTTTCTGAGTGCCTTATTTCCAGCCACGTAAACTGGAGGTCCTTGTAGAAGATACATACATGTTTTAAATGCTAGATTTATTCATTACTTTATGATGGTTGGCAAAAGTTGTAGCAGGAACCAAACCTCACTTCCATCGTGACCAGCTTGTTTTTATGTCCGCTGCAGAATGAAGGCCTCTCCGGACTAACCCTGTCCTACATAGGCAGGTTCTATTTGATGCCTGCAAATTTAATTACATCACTTTACTTCCATTTGGCCATCCCTGTTGGAGTTTCACATCTCTTGGTTTCTATTCCAATGCTGTGATTGACCGTCGTCTGTTATGTCCTCATACTGTGTCTTGCCCAGGTGCATTTCTTTATTTTAATACTTGCTAGGATACCGGCTGCTTCTGTTCCCTGATCCACTCTGCTGTCTTCCTATTTCTTAGGGTTATACCTATCATTTTTCCTTTTATTGCATGCTGTGTAGTTCTTAGCTTCTTCACTAGACGCCAAAGTTGGGCAATTTGATGCCTTAGCTTCTTTTTGAGTTTTTTTTTTTTTTTTGTTCCCATTGTTTACTCTCCATACCTTAGAACTGGTTAATTGAACCAATTGTACACTTTCTGCTTTAGTGACAGTGGTAAGTTACTGGTCATGAGTTGAAAATGTCTACTGTATGCATGCCAACTCACCTGTGTTCTTCAGTAGATTTCGTTTACATGAAGCAGACTCCCTTCTTAATATTTGGACTAGATAGACATCATCATCTACTTATTCAAAGTTCCAGTTGTTGCTTACGAATTCTCGCTTTCTCACTGGACCACCTGGCATTAGCTTTGTCTTTTGCATTGTCATTTTTCCATTATTCATTGCAGTCATTGCTGATGACTGGGTTGTTGTTGGCAAGATGAATAGTAATGAGGATTCATACAGAGAAAGTCTGAAATTTCTTTCCACTCTAGTCATTTGCATACCTTTAGACAAGCAATGAATAGCACTGGAGAGACTACCACCTTGACAGACTCCTTTTTTGATCAAGATTTTCCTGCTTTTCTTGAGGAGGACCACAGCAGCTGTGGAGTCATTATACATTGTCTATACGGTATGTTTCAGGTACCCTTGCTGGCACAACACCTTCAGAACTTTTGGCATTTATAAAGTCTGATTCCATTTTGCAATTCAGCTATGAAATAAAAAGGGGTTTAGTCTGTTTGGCTACAAATTTCCCAATTATTTTATCGATCACATGAAAGGGATTCATTGTAGAATACCATATCCTGAAGCAAGCCACTTTGTTCTCTAGGTTGAATAAGGTCAATTGTAGTGCTTATCTTATTCAAAATAAGTTTTGTGAATATTTTGTTCGATGCTCAAAGACTGATTGGTCAAGTATTTCACAGGTCAGTTTCCGTATATTAATAAAATAGTGCAATACTCCAAAATATTCAGCAATTTTTTTTTCTGAACATACTGTAGGATAGCAAGTTGCAGAGCGAGGCAACAGTGTACTCAAGGATGCCAGTATGGACTGCAATGTATGTATTAGCCAGCTGTACGTTCTTATGTGCAGAGTGAAGAGTGGTGTGAAGATGAACCTTGCGAGTCCTGCATTCAGCACTAAAATGGACGGCCCCCAGGGTGACAGTGATGGGAGGCAGCTGCTGCAATGAGAAACTAATACGGCGGAGAAGAGGAGAGGCACCTGTCATACTTTCTTTTCAATTGGCGGTATCATCTTTCTCTGTGTGTTAATGCTTATTTTGGTGTTTGTAAATGGAGTGTGCGAAGAGGAGGGCTAAGATAACATTTTGTGGGCAACATTTTAAGGACAAGAAGCTATAACTTTCCCTTTTAGTTTTCGGTCACGTTTGCCTTTATGTTTCAAGATTAAGAAAGAGGTTCAACTCTTCCAAATCAGCGGCGAAGTTTTAAAGTTATTGGCTGCTAAAGTGCTGATATGCAGTGCTGCTACACACCTTTATTTTTAAACAAGTAGTACCAAAGCATATTTTTTTTATTTGCCGCCACAGGGCATAGTAGCTTTTTATTTACCTAAATTCTTGCATTCAGGAATAACAGTTGCATTCAGCTCAGATGTTGAAGGCCGTGCTTTTAGTGCAAGAAGGCACTACAGTTTTTTATTTTATTTTTTTGTGACTGCGCACAAATTACCTTGAATGCATATTTTTTGCTTAAGTGCAAGTGCAAAATTTAATTAGGGATAGTCAATCAGATAGTTCTGTACATAATGATATATGAGACGAAGTTAAATGTTCTGTGGCCCAGTTTGGAATGTGTAGTAGGCAAAAGGAATGATATGATATGGGCCTGCTACTCTCATGAAACACCTCCTAGGTTGTGTGCTAAATAGCTGCAGTGTAAAAACAAAAGCGGCAATCGTATGAAAACCTTTACATCTGCATGATTATTTTTATTACTTTTGTTTATTTGTTGCTAATATTAATGCTTCACAAAACTTTGTTGGTACTTGCTGTGTATACGTACTACGCACATACTGGAGTTGAGGCTGCACCTTTGCATCTTCAGCAGTTCACTTGCACTAATATTTGTTCACTCCTACATTTATCTATGCAGTGAGCATGGCCCTTACTTGTTATTCCTTCACTGTGGCGCTATGATGTAGTACAAAAGCATCAGCTCAAGTTTTGCCATTGCACTAATTGTCCCCCTTCTAGGCTGTTCATTTAAGCGGTATGTGAGTGCTGTCTATATGTATCTTGGAGTCAGTTCAATTTTTTTTTCTTTTTTTTAGCTTAGGTATTATAAAATTTGTGCATATCTTTTGTTGCACTTTCCCCCAAAACTGAACAAGCACAGAGTCAGTGATGGGATGCCTATGTTCAATGCCCTGTTCCTTTCATAGAAATTATTTACACTGTGTACATTTTTCTGTACCTGCAGTATCGTTCTAGTGATGTTTGTGTTCCTGCCATTCTGCAACCTTGGTTAGAATGAAAATGCAGTTTTTGCATTAACGTTACTTCTAATTTAAGGCCTGCCACTTGCAGGGTGATGTGCAGCTTAGCACAAGTTGCATGCCGTGAATAAATGGCCACTGTAGATGACACTACTGCAAAATGCTAAATATACTATTTCTCTTGGTTTGTTTTTGTTGAACTGTATTTTTAAGAAATGCCTCTCCTGATGAGCAACAGTACATTTCGAAATGTATTTTCGTTCCACTTCATTTATGTTTGCATGTTGCTGCTTGTCTGCTGGCCTGCTGAGGTCAAGAGAGCCAACCACATGTCCTGGTTTATTTTTCCACCTTTCTGTCATACACCTCTGACCAATTTATTATAGACAAACAATGTGGTATTAGATTCGATATGATGACGTCTGAATTTTCTCTTTCTATCTTTTTTTTCTTATGCTGCTTCGTATACTGAAAGCACTTTTTGCTTAGTGAACCCACTAGGCGTCTAGCTGTGACTTTTCACTAAAATACTTTGATGCAACATTCTTGTACCATGCCAAGGTGTCCACAAAATTCTTGCTCTTCCTGTTGTGTGAGGACACCTTGAGCATGTTGCCGGTTGGTTGAATTGTGCCATAACATATATAGCAGTTTGCATCTAGGCTGTTCTGAAGGATACAATGCACATAAATGTGCTACATGACTGGCAATAGCATTGGCGCTTATTTTTGTGTGAAGGGGCACTTTACAGAGTTTTATTTAGAATGCTTTCATGCTGAATCTCTTGCTGAACAACCTGCATTCTCATTTGCACTTGTTCCCAAACTGCACTGTCATCCACCTTGTGTCGATCTGTTGTAGTTGGGCCAGGCTTACAAGTGACGCAGATACCAGACTTGCATTGTCTGTGCTAGGTCAGAGCATTTATCATTCATTGTGAAAATGTTTGTGGAGAGCAACTATGTAAACATGCAAAGATATCTGGGCTGGTGTGGCGGCTGAAGGGATGCCCTCATATAAGTAGCTCCTTCAGGAAATGGTGTTATCAGGTTTAAACCACTGCCAAATGGGTGGAAATGTTCGTGTGTATGTGTGGACACAGTGTTAGAAAAAGAAACCACATTACTTGGGTCCGTAACATCGAAGACTTTGCCAGTCACCTGTTTCATGTGCTGCTTATTGTAGTTTTTATCACCGGCATTGCTCATGTTTGTTTTCCATTTGTGACCTTGCCAGACGTTTTGCACTGTTGAAATTGTCTTGGTTGACTTGTTTTACAACATGTGCTTTGACCGTACATTAAAGATCAGTGTTATTATAAAGCAGATACCAGGCATTGTTCAATATAATGCCTTTATTGCTCTGGTTTCATGTTCTTGAGCACTTTGTGCTCGCTTAGTTTTTTAATCGTAATTTGCATATGAAAGCAAAAACAACTTTATTATGCTCTAGCTGAAGGCATCATGATGTCACAGTTAATAGGTTAACTGAAATGTCTCAGTTTTTTGTTAATAAGTAAGCCACACTTGTCTGTCAAGTGGCCCTAGCTCAAAAATCATAATTAGGAACAATAGGTACACCTTTTGGATGATTCATGCAATGCTACAGACATGGCGAATAGTGTGCCATGTTTATGAGCTTCAGTTCGGCTCCCATCAGCTGTTGAGCTATAGTAGCTTATTCCAAATACTTCTATCCATAGCCTGTACATCCATATATGCATGCACATCATGTGTGTGGTTCTAACATAAAGTGCTATATTGGTTCACTATTGTGAATTTTTTTTTTCGTTTGTTACCATTATAGCTGTCGCCACACTTGCAGTATGTAAACGTTACAAATATGTATGGTCTGTATTGTACATGCTTAACGGGGCACATGGGTCTTGAAAGCAAAAAAATAGGGAAAAAAAACAGTTTTTCAATTTTGTTGGTATTGTATTCAGGACATCTTCCTGCACGTTCTCACAAAGTTCTAGGCGTGTAGAATGTATAGTTTTGCCAGGAGAAAATATTTACTTCGCGAACTATCTAGTTTCACTCACAGAAAATGCCCTAACTGTCAATGGAGAGAAAGAGGGGGTCTTCAGTAGCCTTTCAGGCAGTTGCTAAGTGGAGGCAGAGGGAAAGCCCCACCCAGATTATTCTCCAAGAGCCTTCTGATCCACTGGCAGTTGTAATTGTGCTCATGCAGAAGATAAAGAGCTTTTTTCCATATTGTCTTTAGTTTTTCCCATTTTTCTCAGAACACTTTTTTGGGCTGTCTCCACTTTTATGGGGGGGGGGGGGAAGGGGGGCTGTTGTTACCCTTCTAATCACCCAATTCTAATGGGATTTTTTTTTATCTGATAGCTAGGCTTCCAAAGAGTGCAAGATGCCTATAGTACAATGTTTCTTCACCGTGAAAAATTTTCAAAATCTGGGCAAACAATAAACAGCGATTTCATGTTTCACATTTAATGTTTTAGCTGTTGTAACTTGGAATAAAATAAGTGTAGAAACATGAGATTATGTTTCTTGCATTTATTGAGAATTCAGGAATATATAAATGTAACATTTAGCTTTCTTATTGTAATTTATTTTTTGCCAGTCATTGCAGAAGTAAAAAACAGAAAAGCTGTATAATCTTTTTCTGCATAAGATACACAAAAACTAGTTGCATATTTGTAATCAGCACATTACATATTACCTGCAAGTTTCATTACTCTAGCAGCAGTAGCAATACATGTTTCACACAAGGCCCATGTGCCCCCTTAAGTAACACTAGTGTAAAGTGCAGTCATTCTGTATGGTTCTGAAGGAATTGTACAAAACACGGTACATTAGAAATCGTCATTGTTGTTTGTCCATATATTGCCAAAAGCAGTTGCACAGACATAAATGCTGTACAGTGCCAAAAGGACAATTTTGTTGAAGTAGCAACGACATTTTTTTTTTTTTCAAGTGGGAAGGCAATGTTAGAATGAGCATATTGCTCTACTAAAGGAGTAGAATCCTCAAAATATATATTATGAGCACAATATTTAATTTTGTCATTAAGATCTTAGGTTGGACTGTTCACTGATTGGAGGCTACTCTTGCAGTTATGTCTCGCCCATTACATATCTTTTTTTTTTCTTCTAAAACCTGCTGAAGGTACAACAAAACTGTTGAGAATAACACTGTAGCTGTAGCAGGGTTAGTGACACTGAACAATTACCACTTTCAAGTTTCCTGGTAATATAATTAGATTCAGAACTGTGTTAAGTATGCATATGTTTAATTAAAATATTAGCCAGGAACACCTGCCCAATGGTTAACATCCATATGCTGCTGTTATGCAACATCAGCTGCCAACCAGGCAGCAGTTCCTAGTACGAAAAAAGTTATGAAAAAAAGCTCACAGGGATGGTTCAGGACTAACTTGCTTTCCCATTTATTGCTTTAATAGACTGACCCTTATTTGCTTTATTTTTGGAAGAAACTACATTTATGGAACATTTTTTGTATAATTTTGAAAGAATAGCCCTGCCGCGGTGGTCTAGTGGCTAAGGCACTCGGCTGCTGACCCGCAAGTCGCGGGATCGAATCCCGGCTGCGGCGGCTGCATTTCCGATGGAGGCAGAAATGTTGTAGGCCCGTGCGCTCAGATTTGGGTGCACGTTGAAGAACACCAGGTGGTCAAAATTTCTGGAGCCCTTAACTACGACGTCTCTCATAATCATATGGTGGTTTTGGAACGTTAAACCCCACATATCTATCTATCAATTTGGAAAGAATATCATTTCATAGCAAAGTTGGGTGCCAATTTAAAAACAAATTATTATGATTCTCACTCTGTCGAGAGCCTTAAATGCAATTTTTTTCGCTTTCTGTAGTTTTGCATGACATGCAACATTTATTAAGACCTGATACAACCTTATAAATATCAAATACATTTGTCTGCTTCATATATAAGATGCTAGTGCTGGCTACGTTAGCAAGGCCACTGTACACATTCTCTACATATGCCGAGTAGGCATTCTGCCTATTATGTAACATATCTTCAAGCAGTGACTATGCCCTGCATTTCTTTGCCGAAGGACGCATGATATAAACATGGATATTCCCAAAAAAAAGTTCAGCATTAGCTTAATTTCTGCTTCATTGACAGCGTCCCATTGCGTCGGAAAGAGACAAGGATGGACATCAAGTGCTGTGTATGCATTCTTGTAGAGTGCACCATGAAACTGTCTTAGAGATATGTCAGTGATAAATAATTTTAAATAATAGTACCCCGCCTATTAACTAGAACTGTTCAATGGCATCAGTTTCATTTCGATGTAAGCGATACACTAGCAGCCCATGTAGTGGGCAGGCTAAAGAATGCCAGATAGTGGAAATTTCCGGAGCCCTCCACTACGATGTACCTCGTCATCATTTTATAGTCTTGGTGCATAAAAACATAGATAATATTGTTATTATTAGAACTGTTCAATGTAGAATCATCTTTGTTTACTCCGGGCTACTTTGCAAGTGCTGGTACCATTACTTTGTTGAAGAGGTTTTCTGAGAGTATGCCAGAAATACATTTCCGGGGTAATCATATTCTGACATAAATTAGTGAAACTTCAACGAAACATCTAAAGAACCTGTCGGCTGTTTGCACTGCCACTCTGCACCGTTGCAAGAACATGGAATGTCTGGATAATGCGACTAGTCTACTACTGTCCATGTCTATTAAGGCCGTACCATAGTAGCACTATATATAATGCAAACAAGGAAGAAGCAAGGAGCGAAACAAATGAGCGCAACTTGTCACTCCATGCTTCGACCTTTTTTGTCTTGCGCAAAGTAGCTAAATGATGCATTCATTCCAACTAGGCCAGCTAGCAGTTTTGCTTCAGTTTTTACACATGCACTAATTGCTATTGCCTTGTATTATATAGATGTGTATAGAGAGGCGACACAAACACCTACAAAACAAATGAAAATTCAAGACCTAGAAAGTTTTTTGATAGTCGCACTCCTCAAGAGTAATTGCAGCAAGCTGTTTTATATGGTCAAATTGAGGGTAGAAGTTCCACTAAGAATAGTACGGTCATTCATAATAATACTGTACTTTTGCAGCAAGGCCAGGGCGCGTTCAAGTATGTTCAGCTATAATTAATCGACTCCCTTTGCAAGTGCAGTAGATCGAGTTCTGCGATAATTTGTTAGGTTTGACCACTTGCCTTGTTTGTAAATGGAGTATGGAGTGCTATGTGCCACAGTAATGGCAATTTTGAATGGGTAAGTTAATGTCCTTTCAACAAACACATCTGCACAGACATCTGTGCAAGGTGTGCTCCACTGTCTATTGGAATAAAACAATAAATCCCCACCAAAAAAAATCCCACTATAACACAGATGTGTTACTTCATCTACAAATGTGTACACACGAGTTTTGACATGTGCAAGTGGCGGCCGTGGAATGGAGCTACTCATCATGCTTAAAATCGGCCAACTGTGAATTTGGGTTCATCGTGCATTAGAGCATATGGCATCATTTGTTGATAGATGAGAGAGTAATTTCTTACCGACTAAGAATTTTAAATTCCAGGCTGCCTGCTGCACTATTTGCTCAGAGATCAAGCGGAGTTACTGCCTAGTGGTCGCTGGCTGAAGCGCACCTAGTCTGGATTGCTCATGCGTCTGTTATTGCCACCTAAGGCTTGTGTGTGCATGTAGGGTCGTTTGCCCTGCTCTGTTAGCACAAGTTTAACTGCTTGTACTTTTGCCTAATTCTAATTACTGAAGCACTTGTCCTTGCTCGGCTGTGCACTATTTACAGAATCATGTGGGCTTGCTTTGCTGTACCACGGCCGCTTGATGAAAGGGCGCTTGGGTACGGCCCACCAGGTGCTCCGAAACCGGCGTGACGGGTCTAGTTCTCGAACCACCGCTGCGACGCTACCGAGGGGGAGGGGGGGGGGGGGGGGACAGTTTTGCAAGCGTCCTTGGAATCGCATGTGCGGCGCCCTTGCAGTAGTTACGATTGAGCGCGTGCATCTTTGTGTGACCCGCGAAATCTTGTTTTAATATCCATCTGGTGTGTGCCTACCAGGTAATTACCGACCTTGCCTTTAGATACCTACAGCTCTTGCAAGTTTTTGATATTGTCTTACCCGAGACGGAACCTTGCACACGGATCAGTTTTCCCGGAAGTCAGAATTGCGAGCACATTTTACTCGGATCCTACAAGATCACAACTAAGAGATCTAGAAGAGCTACACTTTTCTAATGCATTTAAATTGATTATAGTAACAGTGAGTATGTCGCTTCACAAAACATTGCTTTAGATTTAATCATTTCATTTAGAATAAGTAAC